CAACGCCCCTGCAACTTTTGAACGTCTTATGGAAAAAGTTCTAAAAGGATTAATTTCAAAAATTTGTTTTGTGTATTTGGATGATGTAATTGTTTTCGGAAAAAATTTCAAAGAAATAATGGTAAATTTAAACAAAGTTTTTCAACGTTTGCAGGATGCAAATTTAAAAGTCAATCCTAGTAAATGCGTTTTTTTGAAAAGAGAAGTCAAATACCTCGGTCATGTTGTATCCGCAGAAGGGATAGCAACCGACTTTGAAAAGATTTCTTCCGTTAAAAATTGGCCGCTTCCGAGAACACGAAAGCAGTTACGAAGTTTTCTTGGTTTTTGTTCTTATAGAAGGTTTATCAAAGATTTTGCTAATTTGGCTAAACCTTTATATCAATTAACGGAGAAAAATTGCAAATTTGTTTGGTCTTTTGATTGTCAAGAAGCATTTGAAGAATTAAAGCGTGTTATGATTTCTCCTCTAATTTTATCTTTTCCCTCGGGAGAGGGACAGTTTGTTTTAGATACCGATGCCTCGAATCATGGCATCGGGGCAGTACTTTCTCAATTTCAGGGAAAAGAGGAGAAAGTGATTGCCTATTACAGTCGAGTATTCAATAAAACCGAACGAAATTATTGTGTTACTCGGCGAGAATTGTTGGCTGTCGTAGATTCTGTAAGATTTTTTCATCATTATCTTTATGGACGAAAGTTTTTCGTGAGAACGGATCATGTCTCTCTCCGTTGGTTGATGTCTTTTCGAGATCTTGAGGGACAATTGGCAAGGTGGTTGGAGCGTTTGCAACAATATGATTTTGATGTTCATTATCGAAGCGGGAAAGCCCATGGCAATGCAGACTGGTTATCTAGGCGTCCCTGTTTGCAAAAATTTGGTCGTTATTGTTCAAAGATAGAGAAAAATGAAAAATTTTCCAGAGAAAAGGCTCTTGGACGGATTATTCTTATGAAAGGGAATCCTCAAGAATGGCGTTCAGTACAGCTTCAAGATCCGATTATTTCACAAATAATTCAAGCCAAGGAGGCCGGAAGACGTCCAGAATGGCAAGAGATTGCTTCTGGAGAAACTTCTTTGAAAATTTATTGTTCTCATTGGGAGATGTTGATATTGAACAATGGTGTTCTTTATAAAAAATGGATTTCACCTAATTTATGCAAAACTATTTTACAGGTCGTAGTTCCTCAACAGAGAATACAAGAAATTTTGAGAGAGGCTCATGATACGCCTACAGGAGGACATTTTGAGGTAAATAAGACCCTCCAAAAAATTAGGAAATGTTTTTATTGGGCCACTTGCAAAAGGGACGTCGAGAAATGGTGTGCTACATGCAAAATTTGCGTTGCTAGAAAGGGTCCTGTCGGAAAGGGAAAATCTTCTCTGCAAATTTATAATGTTGGCGCTCCTTTTGAGAGAATACAGGACATTCTAGGTCCCTTGCCAGTTTCTTTATCAGGGAACAGATATCTATTAGTAGTCGTGGACTGTTTTACGAAATGGCCTGAAG